CCCCCCTCTCCAGGCTTGTTTATTTAAAAATACAGAATTAAGAAATGCTAAAGTGTAAGTGGAGAACTTTCTAAAACTCCTCATGGCCGAGCCAATAATTTGAGCACTACTTTATAAGCAAATAAAATCATAAGTAATATACCTACCAGTAAAACAGGCAATACAAAGCGAGAGCTGGCTGAGAAATGGGTTCTCAGACCCTTGGCAAGATTTCCAAGAGCTTGAACAGCCTCAACTGCAACAGCAATGTTTACATCTGTAATAAGCTGCAAAGTCCAAAAGCATAGTGTAATTACTGTATTTGTCAGCTTTATTCTATGTATATTCATTCCATTAATCAGGAGATAGCACATGAACACAAGATAGAGATAAGAAATAATACACTTACATCACTAAGCTCTTATAGAAAAGCACAGGCTTTAATGCACTCCACGATAAACACAATAATTTGATTCACGGCAAAATTGTTAAGACTTCTTTTAGGACGATTTACTCAGAACTTGTCATATGTGCTTAGGGACCCAGGCCTCTCTACATGGTTATACCAAATCCAAATAGATTTCACTGAAAACTACCAAATGTCATTGTGTATTTCATAACTTCATTCTCAAATGTCTATGTTTTCGATTTATCCATGATTCATCTCAAAAGAGTAAAACAAAACCAATTCACATGTCCAATTGCTTTCTTTTTATGCATCATGTACTAAGTATCTGGCACCACTGCGGCAAATATTTTAGAAATTTATGAACCAAAACCATGAAGCATAACAATTATCATCAGTGTTAATCACGTTTTTGTAGATATTCAAGCAAGCAAAATAATGAAACTCAGATAATGGTTCATATATAAGTTACTTATTTCTGAAAACAACTACCCTCAATATGAACAGATCTATTGCTGACCTTCTTTAACGTCCGACAAACTTCCGAAAAATCTCCCGGAGCAATCTTCTTAGTAGATGCAAGTTTGGTTAGTTCTGCAACAGCCTCTTTCCGCTCAGACCATTTGGCAGCTTTCTGAAGTACACACACAATAGCAAACCACCGGTAAACTTAACCAATATACTAATACAGTGATATGTGACATCAGCACAAGGTTACAATGTTATTTGAATATTGATAAATATTTATAATTGAGCATAGCCTACTAACCACTCCTTCCCAAAATCCAGATTTTTCTAAAGGTGTCAATATATCAACTGGATCAATAAGTTCATACTCATCAATCTCTTGTGGCACTGAAAAAGAAAAAATGTTTCATTCATCATTTGTCAATGCCAGGTCATATTTTATCAATCTTAAGCTGCTTGGATCAATAACACTGCTCAATTAATACCCTCAGCTGCACTTTCTTCAGCAGGCCCCAATCCCGCTGCTACAGGAACAGCTTCTGGTTCAGGTTCCTTGTCTTGCTCGGACCTGGTATGACAAAGTGCAGTAAAATTTAAAAAAAAAAAAAAAAAAAAAAAAAAAAAAAAAAAAAAAAAAAAAAAAAAAAAAAAAATTATCTATCTGAGGTTTGATGTCAAAAAAATAACACAGAGTAGCAGTAAATTAATACTTCTTATAAAATTCCATGTTTACTATCAAATCATGTTAAACATATAGTCCAGCAGAATCAACAACCACCTCTTGTGCATGTTTGATGTACACATGAAACATTAAAAACTTATAACGCTCAGCAAAGTATTATAATGTAGAAAAGAGAAATTCATCAGAATCTACGAACTTAAGATTCACACCCCAGAATGGAAATAGAAACACTTATGAGCGATACGCCTCCAACAATTTAGCAATATCAAAAAAATTCCAAGCTTGACCAATACGGAAATCTTTTCATAACAATCTCCTAACAAATTAATACACTGGTCGTGTTGGTTCTGTGCAAACTTATCAGAATTCAGACCATGATTGAGATCTGTAAAACTACGGAGTGTATTCATTAGGGTTTTCTAAAGACTTTTTAATACTCCTGGTGTATTTAATTTAGACCTTTTATGACTTCTAAAAGTTTCGAGGTATTCATTTGAGATTTTAATAAAGTCTGACAATATCCTAAGTTATTTAACTTATTTTAGACTAGTATTTGTTCAAGACTTTTTAAGATTTGTTGGAATTTCAAAAGAAAAAACAATATATGAAATCACACTCCAAATTTCATAGGATTCTTCCTAAATCGAAAAATCTTAACAAGTCTCAAATCTCAAAAAGTCTCAAAATGACAATCAAAAATCCCAACCGAATACACCCGATACTCTAAAGAAAGTCTAGTTAAATATTCTTCTTTTTTTTTTGG